GACTGGGTTACAGGAGGAAGGCGGTTGAAGTGGCGGGGGGAAGCAGCCGCCAGTTGCCCTCCTGGGGAAGAGGAGGTGGGAGCCCCCGGGGGGGGGCAGGTGGGGAGGGGAGGTGGATTCTGGCGGGAATGGGGTGGTGTGCGGTGTGCGGGGTAAGACGAACCACAAACAATTGCAGTGGCGGAGGGGGAGGGGGAGCGGGAGGGAGGGAAGGAGGGGGAGGGGGGGAGAGGCCAGAAAGCCCGGAGGCGGTAAAGAGGTCCGAAAAACACAAACTCGTGGACACTGCTGTACCTTTGGTGTGAAGTCAAAGACGTCGGACCAGAAGTTGTGGAAGGGGCTTAGCTTGGCTTGCCGCATATGCTCTGTCGGTAAGTCGTACGGCAGGGAGTACGCAGGGCTTATGGGATTTCGGAGACCCGGCAAAAAGGACAACGCGGTAGAAGAGGCGCTGTTTGAGATAACAACAGCTGTGGGCATGTCTGGTTGAGTACTTAAGTGTACGGCATAAGACGGTACGGAGGCGGGACAAGTCTTGTTCACCACCTTACCGCACCCGCTGGTGGGGTGGTTACAAGTGTTTGGGAGGTGTAGGGGTGTTGACGATGACGGGGCGACCAGCAGTACGGCAGTGCGGGCAGAGAGAGGGACGGACAGACAGGCAGACAGAGAGACGTGGTCGCGGAGGAGGTTTGCTGACGGCGCCGCCGCCAACTCATGGTTTCAGAGAGACTGGTGCTCTCAGGACCCCCCCACCCCCCCCCTGGGGTTCAACTGATGTAATCGGAGGAGGAGCCCCCCCCCGCACAAACACACATGCATACATAGTATTCCAAAGCCCTGGTCGTACCTTGAAGCTGCGGATACGACATGTCCAGGCACGAGAAACCCAACTGCAAAAATCCCACCGAGAAAGGTTGAGGGAGGTTGAGGGAGGTTGAGGGACCTGATTCCTCCTTCAGGTCCTTTGGTCGTTCAAAAGCCCAACCACGTATCCACGTCAAAGTGTACGGTACGGCAGGTACGGTACGGCAGGATAGACAGAAATAACTGGAGTACGGCAGAAGAAGCAGGAGCAGGAAAAGATGATGACGACATGATGGGCACCCATGTCTCTCTATTACAAAGCAAATGTGCCGATATGGCTGGCCCCCAGGCAGAAGTTTTGGCTTTTCCCTTGCTCTCTGCCGTACAAGGCCGTACAGGACAGCTGTGCGACTCCCTTTCCCCCCTCCTCCCCGGGGGACTTTCATGCCCCCAGGAGACGCAATTAGGGCCCTAAGTGTGCATACATACATACATACATACATACATACATACATACATACATACATACATACATACATACATACATACATACATACATACATACATACATACATACATACATACATACATACATACATACATACATACATACATACATACCACCCCGGGGCGCTGCACTGGAAGAGGGGAGCAACCGGAACTACCAACGGGGGGGCACCAGGTCCTACTTCCCGGATGCGCTGCTCGCAAGGCACTGGCGGCCCAAGGGCCTCGAGGCGCCACTCATGACTTTGAACTTCCCGGCTCACACACAGGACCCCCCTCCCACCGCCCGTCCCGTCGTACATCGCTGGACGACTCCACGATTGGTTTTGTACGGCAGTACAACGCGATGTTGCAGCTCATGCAATCCCGAGTCCTGCACACGGCAGTACCCGATGATGTGTGTACGGTAAGGTATGTACGTTGCGGTCACATCAGCACATGCACATACATACATACATACATACATACATACATACATACATACATAGAGTGTTGGCAGTCTGAGTCGGGGTCGGGAGCACACAAGACTAACCGACTTGTGCTGTGTGCTCCCGACCCTTGCGCTGTGTTTCGGCTTCGGCCCCCGGCTCTCGCAGCCCACAGTGTAATCTAAGTCATACATACAGAGGGTTTGGCACCACTGGTAAGGCGCGACCATTGCCACCGGGAGATCCCGGGATCGATACCCATTAGGGTCAAAGTCCTTCCGATGGTGGAAGGCAATGCGTCCCTAGTTGATGGACGGTGGTGACCTGGGATAAAGTTAACCTGCGAGTCGACCAGGAACGGAGTTGCGCCGCTGTCGACCCGGCAGATTCTGTTGGATGCTGGTGGTGGGTGCGGAACCTGAGCGATCCACTGAGAAGTTAACTAGGGTGACTGGATGAGGGTGCCCCGAAATACCGGGGAAGGCAGGGTTTCGCAGGGTAGCTACCACGGGCGAAGATACACCCCCCTGTTTCACACATCATACGCACGCACATACATACATACCTCAGTTGCCTACAAACCGTAGCCACGTTGCAGTTAGACGAGTCCCGCAGGAACACGGAGCCATCGGTGGGCCCTGCGTGTGCGTGTAGTGTGTATGGCGGGGGAGGGGAGGTTAAGTAAGGGTGTGGGTGACAGGCGTTTAGGGCTGTACGGCATCGGGAGGGTGGATGGGGGTATGAGGTAGCTCTAAGTCCTCCAATGTGAGACCCCCAACCCCCCCAGGTGGCGGGGGGTGGGGTGGGGTGGTCCCCCTTGAGGGCGCCCGTCCCCCTGACGGTGTTTGGGAGACAGCGGGGTACCGCCCACCACCACCATCTGGGGTTTGCACACCCAGACACCCCATCCCCGCCGCCTCCGACACGCCGCCACACGCACACACACACACCCACACAACCCTCTGCTCCTTCCCCCCGCTGCTTACCTACCTATGTAGATGCGGCAGTCCGTGCACTCGTCGATGGTGACCTGAGCGCAGTGGTCCAGGATGTAGATGTCGCAATTCTGTGGGGGGAGGTGGTGGTGGAGGTGGTGGTGGTAGTGATAGTGGGGGGAAGTTGGCAGGGTGAGGGACACGTTAGGGCTTTGGGGTGGGGGGGGGTTGGGGAGGATGCAGGGGGAGCAGCACATGGAGGGGGTGTAAGTACATCAAAGGTATTTCCGGGGAAAGAAAGGACACGTCGGATATGGTGGTTGGTGGTTCAGGGGGGGAGGACGCAGCGGCCGAGGGAGGGGGTAACCAGGGGGCCGCACCGCCCATATCGGTATTCCCCCGTCCTTCACTACCCGTGGGAAGGAAGGAAGCCGCACTCAGGACTCAGCCAGGCCGGGATGAGGGGAGGGAGGGAGGGGGAGGGAGGGGGAAGGGGGGAAGGGGGAAAGAAGAGGGTATAGGCACTGCGCAAGTGCGACGGTGTTATGGCGGTAGCTGGACGGGATGGAGGAGTTTGCAGCCAGTAGGGGGATTATGCGGACGAGCGCGCGTAGGTGATGATGAGGGCAGCACTGTGCTGAGCTGGCAGGGCCAGTCAGTTGCGGGACAGAAGTAGGAGCTCCGTACACATGTTGCTCCGTATAGCGCTTGATACGGCGTACGACGTGCGACATATGGCGAAGATTCTTACATATGGCGAAGACAAAAATGATTTTTTTGTCTGGTCTTATTGGGTATTAATTGAATATCCTTGAAAGCTAAGTGTGAATCTGCATGACAATTTTTCCGCACGACGGGTCTGTGCCTAGCGGCCCAAGGCCATCTGTCCAAGAAGAGGCCGACGACTGGACTTACTTCGCACTTGTCAATCATGAACGATTGTCCATTGATGCTACCGGGCATCTTTATTTTCGCCTCGCCTTTGCATTGAACAAATTGAAAGTCCTTTGGGTCAAGCTTGGGGCGAGGAATGTTGCCGATGTTGCCACAGGCAGGCTGTTTGACCGCCTGGTCGGCCGCCTGGGCTGGAGGTAACTGAGCTTTATCTGCCTCTTCTAACTGCGTTGCCATAGGGGCATACGGGGTCGAAGAGAGCGTGAAGTGGGTCATAAGCAGCTCTCAGTTGCTACTGCCAACGACCTCTTCTTTCGTGTAACATACCTTGTCGATTTGATCAAATCCACCATTATCATCTTTTGCAGCGTATGCGCGCCATCTGCGCTCCTTCGACCCGATACAACCCATTCAGCTGTGTTGGGCCGCGAGGTGCAGCGAGCACAAGTTGTCTCCCCGCACAAGGTTATGGTCGACGAGTTGAGACTGAGTTTGAAAGTCTCTTTAAATGCCTAGGAATTGAATGCTCGTTACACGACGAGTATTTATGCGCGATAAGCAACTGTCGTTTGCGAAGACTACAAATGTAGTGCCCTGTCCGAACAAAACCGTCAGCCCTAAATAACAAAGAAATGAATAATATAGAGGATGAAGAAGATGTCAAAGGAAAGCTAAGCATGTCTGCTTACTAGTCATTTTTGAGGTCCGTCGAAAGGCACCTTCCGTACATGCACGTCCTCATACCTTTCCACAACAAATGCTGGCAATGCTGCAAACCTCAGATATGTCATCTCTTCTTATCCTTCTTCTTGTTTTCCTCGCGGCCCTGCCGGGGCCGACCCGCATCACCCGGCCTGGTGTGCCCTCCCCGGCCCCGGCCCCGCCCGCCACCTCCTCCTCCCCGCCCGCCTTGGGCCCCTGATCCCATCCGTCCCAACTTCCCTCCTCGCACGCTGCTACCACTTCCACCGCCCTCCGCCTGCACCTCGCCCTCCACCCTCTTCACCCTCTTCGCCTCCCGCTGCTGCTGCTGCTGCCCTCTCTTCGACACACCTGCCCCTCCCCCGCTCGGTGGCCGGTTCCCCGGCAGCTGCTGGCGGCCCGCATGGAGCCCCCTCTCTTTCCCCCGACTCAAGGTGCCACCCCCTGGGCCCGCCCCGGCCCCGCTCTGCATCCTCCTGCCCGCAGCCTCCCCCTCCCCCTCCCCCTTCCCCTCCCCCCGCCATGTCCCCCGTTTGCCCCGCAACCCCCCCTCCCCCTCCCGGGGCCCCCGCCCCCCCGCCCCCCCAACCCCCATCCCTGCCGTGCTGGTGCTGCGACCACCAGCCCTCCCCCTCCCCTTCCCCCCTTCCTCGTCCTCGTCATCATCATCCTCGCCATCATCATCATCCAGCGTCGTCAGTGCCCTCCTCCTCCTCCTCCTCCTCCTCGCTAACGCTGTCATTACCCCCTCCTCCGAAACCAGTGCCGTCACCGCCGTCCTCCTCATTGCTATCGTCGTTGTCTGGCCTTGCCGGCACCACCTCAAAGCCCGGATCATCATCGTCATCATCACCGCCCGCTTTCCCTCCCCTCCGCAGCTGCTGTTGCTGCTTTCGCTGGTGCTGCTGCTTGCCCGGTTTGAGTGACGCCGGAGTGGGGGCGGCAAAGTTCCGGAGGGGGGGTGGAGGGAAGGGAGGGAGGGGGGACATCAGCAACACACAGGGTGGCAAAAAGGGTCGGGAGGGGGAAACCCTTTCTACCCCCCCACCATTACTAGGAAAACAAAAACAAGTCAGTCCA